TTCGAGAGAGAGAGAGAGGTAAAGCTTATTGAAGTTTAATCTTTTCTCTCCGTGACCTTTAACCCTACGTACGAGGAAAAACATGATTTTGCAAATTTTTTTTCGAATAAGAGCGTTTGAATGTGAATGCGTTCGATTCAATTTTCATTTCATTTATTTATTTTTCTCTCTCTCTCTCTATTTGTTTTTTTTTGTACTTCTCACTCTTTCCCTCTCTCTCTCTTTCTCTTTCTCTCCCCGTTTTTATATATTCGCACATCTTTTTCTTTTTTTTTATAATATTTCTTATTCTTTTCTCTCTCTCGGTTTCTCTTTTTTTATTTCTTTCTCTCGCTTTCTCTTTCTTTATTTTTTACTGTTTCTCTCTCTCTTTCTTTTCTCTTTCTCTCTCTCTTTCTACATTCTTTTTATTGTTTATCATGTAGTTTATTAATGATGATTTTTCTCGAAAATAAAAAAAATTTACAATTTGTATAAATTTTAATTTTTTATTTTTTAAAATGTCAACTCGAATATTTGTTTTTTTTTTTTTTCTTCTACCACTTTTTCTTTTCTCTTTAATTTTAAAAGCCTGCCATTTTTTTTCTTCTTCTTCTTCCACTTTTTATTTTTCGGATGAAAAATTTTTTTATTCGGAGTAAAAAAAAGAAAAAAAAAAAATCTCTCACGCATTTACGAAGGCTTTTTTTTTTTTCTTCACTTTGTTTCTTTACGAAATTAGGATTTTACAGAGGAAACGGAAGTAACCAACCGAATGAATTCGTATTCTTTGTTTCGTTTGTTTTTTTTTAAACGGACGCCATATTTTTTTTCTCTCGGATTCGTATTTACCTGTCGTAATCATTTTTCTAAAATTTTTCCAAAAAAAAAAAAAAAAGCCAAAAAATTTTAATCAAATTTATCCCAGGTGTTGTTAAAACCACGTTAAACAAATCATTTTAAAATTTTGTCGTATAAATTAATCCTACGCAAATAATAATAATAATTTTATTTTTTAGTAACAATAATAATAATAATAATTTCGTGGATAAATTTGATAAAGTTTTAAATTCGTTTTTATCATTGCTACCAACTTTCCAAAACGCAAAAAAAAAAATTAAAATAAATTTTTCGGTTTAAATTAAATGTTCAGTATGTTCAAGTTAACGCGAACTTAATTAAACCCATAAGTTTTAAAATAATAGAAGGTAAAATAGAAGATAGTTTTGGCTTTTTTTTTATACTCTTTTTCTAATGCCACGTTTTTTTCCGATTATTTTTTATTTTTGCTCTTTGTAACATTTTGCAATATTTTACGCGGTTTTTGCAAAATTTCCTGTCGGTTGTGAGAGTTTATTTATAATTAGGGAAAAATTATTTCTTTCGGATATTATAATAATAATAATGATGATGATAATATGTGCCACGTGTGAGTGCGTGCGCGAGAGTTTTTTTATTAATTCAAAACGTCGTGCCAGAAGAAAAAAAAAAAAAAATTTTGAATTTCTTTTTTTTTTTTGTTTTTGTTATCATCATCGTTGCTTCCGTTTTTATTCTTCCGTTTGTTGTTTGTCGTTGTTGTTGTTGTTGTTTTAACTTAATTAAAAAACCATTGTTAACGAATGAAAAAATAATAATAATAATAATAATAATAATCCAAGATTATCTTCAAAAAGGGGGTGGAAAAAAAAAAACCCTCTCCGACGACCTGAGCTGGACGTACAAATTAAATTTTCATTTTTTTTTTTTTTTGTTTTCCTTTGTTAATTTACGTTTTTTTTTTGTTTGTTGACAATAATAATGATAATAAAAAATTATTAAAATTATTATTATTATTTTACGACACTCTTCACATGTAGTAAAAACTCGTTCGGTTGATATTTTTAAAGCGGAAAAAAAAAAAAAAATAAATTATCATTATTATTAAATGTCAAAATAATTATCATCATTATCATTATCATTATGTTTTTTTGTTTTTTTTACCATGGCGAGATAAAAAAGGAAAAAAGAAATTTAAAAAAAATATATATAAACAGATTATTATTCTTATTTTAGACAATGGCGGCGACAAAAAGAAATGCTGGACTTACATCGGCTGTGCCAAGAGCGACACTCAACGATGAAGAATTGGTAAGTTTGACGTCATCATCCTCTTACGTCACAAAATTTTTCCAAATTTTTTTTTTTTTAAAAAACTTTCGACTCTCGAATGGGGTTATTCATATTTAATAAGTGATTTGTTCGATTCTCTCGTTCGATACTCGATCGAGTCTTCGATGATAATGATAATAATAACAAATAACGAATTTAACGATTTTTTATTTCACTTTACGAAACGATTGATTGACTTGATGGTTCGAGGAAAATTTTTAGGAAAATTGGGAAACGTTAAACGAAAAATGGAGAAAATGAAATTTTAAAATTTTACATTTTCAATTATTTAAATTATGTAACAATAAAATGTTTTAAACAAAAGAAGTCTATTAAAAAAATTCAAAACAAAAGGTTTTACTATTATTATTATTATTATTAATAATTTTCACTTAATTTAATGGGGGGGGGGAATTGTTCGAATGTACGTTTCTTTTTGTTTAAGAAAGAAAAGAAAAGAAAGTAAGAAAATATATATATGTATATGCATTTTTTAAAATAATAAACAGTCGTGCCAACCTATTTAAATTTTTAAAAAAAATTTAATTAATTTTGTTGGCTAAGAAAAACAAAAGGAAAATTTTTTTTTTAACGATAATAATAATAATAATAGTTTTTCGAAAACGTAAAAAAAAGAAAGGGGAGGAAGAGAAAGGAGGAATTTTTCCGTTCCCGAAAGAAAGAAAGAAAAATGGTAGGAAGAAAGGAAACCATCGAGAAAATTATTATTATTATTATTGAATTTTAGACAAATCGTACAAAAGGACAATATTATTATCATTATTATCATTATTATTAAGGAACTCGGGTAATTTAAATTATTGTATTTACCATTTCATTTATAACGGATTTTTCAACTGTCAAAAGGTAGTAAAAATGAGGAAGATGAGAAAAGGAAAAAAAAGAAAAAAGAAAAAGGAAAAAGGAAAGAAATTGAATGGAAATAAATGTTTTGCGGTGAGGGAGAATGAATTGGATAATTTGAGAAGGGAGGAAGGGGAGGGGTAGGAAGTAGGAGGGGAGAGCGGATAAAAGGGATGAAAAAATAAAGTAAATGAATTTGAAAATAAGAAAAGGTGGTAAAAAAAGTTTTAGACGAGGGAAAGGGAGAGAGAGAGACAGTTTCAAAAGAGAGGGGTGGAGTGAGGGGAGGAAATTGAAGGGGAGAAAGAGGGGGAAAGAAGGGAATAAAAAAAAAAAAAAGGAACGCGTCGCGCGGATTGCTTATTTCTCACGACAAAGTTTTTTATATTATTAAAATTAAAAAGTTTTTTTTTTTTTTTTCGTTAATGTAATTGATTTTCATTTATTCTTTTTTTTTATACTTCTTCTCTCTCTTCTTCTTCTTCTTGAAGAAAAGTTTTAAAAAAAGCCGAAAGGTAAAAAAAAAAGGAAAAAGAAAAAGTGGGTGAAAGTAGAAAAAGAAAGAAAATTTTTTTTTTTTTGCATTCCCACGAATGAGTCAACATTAAATTTCCATATTTAATTTTCGTGCTGTACACCTTCATTACCTCCTCCCCTTTCTCCCTTCCCTTCCTTTCCCCTTTCTTCCTCTCCTCTTCTCCACTCATTTTTCCACCCTAAATCATCATCATCATAAAACTTTTAATATGATTATTATTTGTAAATAAAAAAATTTATTCGAAATCATTTTTGAAAAAAAAAAAAACTTTCGAAATGTTTCTTTATCATTATTATTATTTTTAAATTACGTTAGGAAATCGATACGGAGGAGGGATAAAGGAGAGGGGGAAATAACAAAATAAATAAAAAAAAGTAAAAATTAGTTAAGAAATGTGAGAAACGAGTTCTTCTCGTGTTTTCACTTCATTAATCATTTTTTTTCCAACCACCCATTCATTTACCTCTCTCTCTCTCTCACTCTTTCCCCCCTTTCCCATCGACAAAAAATAATAATTTTCCCTAAAAAATGTAAAATATACTCGTGCGGTAATGATAATAATAATAATAAAATTCCCGTGAATTTTAATAAGGAAAAAAAAAGAAAAATTTAAATAATGAATTGGATTAGATGAATACCTGTAAGGGAATTTTTTTAAACAAAAAACAAAAGGCTCGTTCAAGCCCTCTTCCCTCCCCCCTCACTTACTCATTTTCCTTTCACGTATGCATTCGGGGGGGTTTTAAGAAAATTTTTCTTTTTTTTTTTTTTGTACTGCAGAAAATTTTTCAGAATTCATTTCCGGAGAAGAAATTGAAGAAGAAAAAAAAATTAGAAAAGGTTTTTCTCTTTCTATCTCTCTCGCTGTCTCGCTCTAAGACGTGAAAAGTGTTTTTTATGTATGTATTTATAATCTTGAAAAAATCCGTAAGCTGATTCTCTCTCTCTCTCTAACCTGTTTTTTCCATCTTGGAAAAAAAGAAAAATATGTCACCGATTTTCAAAAAAGTAAAATTTTCCGTTTGAAATACGAAGAACAAAAAAAAAAAAAAAAAAAAAAATTCGACGACGACGACGAACGACGTAAAGTGTTTTTAATAATAATAATAATAATAATATTGGAAAATCGTATTGATAACTCTTATCACAAAAACAAAAAAAAAACAAGAAAAACAAGAAAAAGGAAAATGGTGATGAATAAAAAAAAAAAAAGAAAAAAAAACGTAA